TAGCCATTCCTTTAAGTATTTAAGTATTAAAAGTTCTGAGACGCTATCCTGAGTGAAGGGCCTATATAAATGCAATGTTGTTGTAAAGCAAAATGGAGTTATAATATTAGCAATCTCTATGTGATTGAATTATAAACTCACACTCAGTGTTACCGACTTTGTGTTGTGTATGCAAGAGAACCTTAAACTGTGCAATTGAGTGAGAAGGAAATAGAAGGATATGGGAGAGAGTAAGGAGTTTTTATATTCCACTCATTTGGAATATAAACACCAGCATGGATTATTTGGGCTGAACAGTCTATTTACATGCTGTACAATCTATATAAATCTATTTAAGTGCGCTTTGATATAGAATTTCCTGATGTCACTTATTGCAAATTGCAGAAGTATTGCTTTTGTCACTTCCTGCATGATACTTCCTGCAGGAAATGCTGCTGATATCATTTTGCAAAGGAAGTGACATCAGAGGCACTTCCTGATCAGAACACATGCAGAATGTACAGGGCGCGATGTCAGTGACCTGATGACCCAGAAGTTAATCATTTGTTTGTGCCTCACTTATAGCGCAGACACTAAAACATTAGACCCAGCCAACCATGTTATAATGGGGTTTCCCTATATCTTGCCCAGAGGGCGATACTCAATGTTAGAGGAAGGAGCTATGAGCAATGATTAGGCAACGTCTAACACATCCCTCAAGACTCTTAATTCTTGAGAGAAGATGTCTCAGAGGGATCCTTATAGAGGTGTCTAACATTTTAAATGAGATTGAAAAAGTAAAACCAGATACATACTTCAGGATCCCGCAAGACAGTAGAACACGATTAGAACAAAATAGTTAATATGAGCATAAAAATTTGTTAGGTGAAAGAAGACCAAGGTCCATCTAGTTCACCTTCCACCATCCTGGTAGTCGCTCGACATGTCATGTACCAAACTATACAAGAACATAAGAAGCAATTGTTTGGAGTTTCAAAGGGCAATTTTACTCAGCTTTTTACTCAGTGAATAATTATTAAATGGAACAGATTACCATAAAGGGTGTTTGAGACTAGGACACAAGACTTATTTAAAAAAAAACAGTTTGATGCTGTGTCTAAGGTGTAAACCTTAGGCTGTCCAGCACCTTGGCACATCCTTCTGATGTGAAAGGCATTATATAAATTTGTACATGAGAGCAGATTGCCAGTATGTAAAGTATTTTACATACTTTACATAGAGGGTATTGGATACTTCTCTTTCAATTGAAAGACAGTAATCCAGTTGAGGAGTTAGAATCATATTATAAACTATAGACTGAAGCTCGATCATCTTCTGAACTCTGAAATGGGATTACTGTCTTAAATTCACTAAGGAAGTCTTTATAAGATATGTACATATTAGAGATAATACTTCTTGAACAATGCAGCTTCTTGCCTTTGCAGCGGGAAAGATGCAATAAAAAGATTGGTAATTTTCCCAGTCAGTATTTAATAGATCCAATGTTTACGGTTCTTCATGGGATTTTGCTGAAGGAGTCTAAGAGGAAATTTATGTACAAATTGTTCACAAATTGACTGCTGCATTTGCCCATAAAACAATCAATCACTGCATTTTACAGTATAGCCTGTGAAGTGATTTGAGGCGACTTACTAGCGACTCCTAAACTTATCGATAGAGGTCAAAAGTGTTGTTGCAATGTTCAAACAGTTTCTTCACACTTTGTCATTTTGTTAAATCTATAATATAAAAAAGTACTTTTCAAAATGATGTCTTTCAGCTTTATGTGCCAATGATAACAGTGCATAATAAATATCTGTTCACTAATACATGTCGGTCAATAAATGAATATTGATTGATTTGTTATGCACATTGTAAAATAATGACGATGTACCCCTCAAAAAGAAATGTTCCAGTTACGGATATTTTCAGGAGACTTAAGAAAATGTTGTTGTGTTTCTTGTGGTGGCTGTGTCATGCATTGTTTATTTAACATTGACAAAAGACAAAGAAAAAAATCAGATTCATTTTCATTTTATTCACACAGCAGAAGTAATCTTGAACGAGTCCTTGAAACAGCTGCCGCCATAAGGTAATCCTAAGCCTCTTAGGCCACGTGCACACTTTGGCAGAAGAAAATTTTCTTTTAGGTTGTTTATTATTTTGCTTTATGGTCTTCACCCCCTCCTCTCCAACCACACACACAAACATACAGACACATCGACACATGCACACACATACTGACACACAAGCACACACACAGATTCACACAAACACACACACAGATTGACACCCACACTTCATACACAGGCAAACATACAGATACATAGACACATGCAAATACACAGACCTACACGCAAACATAAACACCCACACACTATACCAGACTAGTCTGACCTGCTTGATACCAGTGTTGGGCTTTTTCTCATTTTAGCACATCGTGAGCTGGGAAGTATGAGGATTACAGTTTAATGACAGAAGTTACACACTTGACATGTGCCTACAGATGCCGCATTAGAACTTACAGGTAGTGCAATGCCATTTACGTCAAACACTTGATGTCAGTTTGATGAAATAAGCAGTTGCAAAGTACAACTCACCCCCTACTGTGCAACAAAGAAACAGTTCACTTCAAAAATAATCCCTCTGTACGCTGAACGCTGAACACCTGATTTGTTTCCATTTTTCACCTTTTATCTATTAGAACCTTTTATGCAATGTGTGTGACAATTCCAGCAGTGATTTATGCTCAGGTATGCTTTGTGAATAATTGTCTGTTGTATTATTCATGGAGTGTGTGTGCGTGGGGGTGGGGGTGGGGGGTGGAATGCATTTTGAGATGTGATTATTAGTTCTGCGAGCAAAGACTGACCATCCGTGGAGCAGCGATAAACCTCGCTTCAAAAATCAACACACTTCTGGTGACACAGATATGTAAGAAACATGGCATCCATCTTGACTGTAGAACTTTTGGGTGAAATCATTCTCTCAAAGTCAGAAATTGGGAATGGGTAGAATGTTGAATTCTTTGGAATTGAAGCACAGGTTTCAAGAATATATTATCCTGTAATTACATTTTTAACTCTTTGATAATAACAATGATAATAATAATCCTTACATGTGATAAAACATCTTTCATGTCAGGATTACACTTCAAAGCATCTGGAAAATCCACAATTAGAATATAACAACATAAAAATTTGCTATGAGAAAGAAGACCAAGGTCCATCTAGTCTAATTTCTATCATTCTGGTAGTTGCTCAACATGTCATGTCCCAAACTATATACTGTATCCCGAGATATTATTTTCTAGCAGAAATCTATATAATTTGTTATTGAAGCAAATTATATACTTACACTTTCTGCTTCCATTGTCTCCCTAAGGAGCTTGTTCCATAAATTTACCACTGGCTCACTGAAGTAGTGTTTCCGCAGATTTGTTCTGAATTTAACCCCCTTCAATCGCAGGCCGTGTCCTCTGATTCTACTATTCAGTACAAGAAAAACCAGCTTATCATGGTCTACATTATCTAGTCCCTTCAGAATCTTAAAGACTGTAATCATATCACCCCTTAACCTTCTCTTCTCTAGCGTGAACATGCCCAGTTTACCTAATCGCTCCTTGGTATCCTCTCAATCGCTGCAATATTGTTTTTATACTGTGGTGACCAGAACTGCACACAGTATTCCAAATGCAGTCGCACCAGTAATTTATAAAGTGACAGGATTACCCGAAAATTTCAGCTCAATATTGCTCTTTTAATACAACTCAACATCTGGTTTGACATGTCGTGTGAATGACCATTTGCATTTTAAAATGTAATTTCGTGCTTATATCAGATAAATTTGTAATATTGGTCTGATATAATTCATTCACACCTTCCATACAGTAGTTTAATGATTCATTATAATCATCCTAATCAGCAATAACCCTTGCATTTAATGTATCGACTATGATGCTTAAAGTCTCAAAGTCCTTCAATAAGAATTTTGTAAACTGTAGGCCTCTGTATTTGTAGGCGAAAACAGTAAACAAATTGCACCCAGCAATGGGCCACAAACAGCCATGAAGTGCTGACTAATTGTAGCTGGAGGATTGTTGACCAGGACACAAGGAGAAACTCTGTTCTGTGTAATGAACAGATACTGTTCATTATGCCTGTTTCTGCTTATTATGTATTGAGAGAAGGCAAGTCAATTACATTGGAGTTGAAACACTGCTCTTTAGGAAAGGTTACCAATTCATCTCAGAAACAAATACCTCCCAATGTAAAGTGTGCTCTCTGCAGACAATCCCATGTATGTCATTCCAACCCATGCAATATGGTTTCTGACCTGAGGTTGCCTGGGGGCTGAGGTCTTCTGAGTTAGTGTAATGCACAGGGAATTCCCCAAAGAAAACACAGAAAGCAACCCTAAGGAGCTTTCCCCAGAATGAGGTGTAGCAAAATTAACCCTTTCCTGAGGAGGATCCAGAACTTTTGTTTTTGGTCAGCCGGATGTCTGACATTTGTGCAAACACATCATCATGTTTTGGATATTATGCTATCCAAACCAAACTGAAAGGTCTGTGGAAATTTTCCTGTGCCTGCAATGGAATGTGCATTTTTTCCCTGGAGGGATGTAACCTGCTTGCCTAATTCTGGAGAGCGCAAGCTTAAATAAGGCAAGCATTCGGGACCTCAAAGTATGTGTTGGTGTATTGCTGGTTTAACCAGATAAAACAACATAGCTTGCCATTGAGAGCACTGTTTGACAAGCTTTCCCACACTAGAATCACCATACTGTTTAGGATTTCGGCTTGCAGGGTTAAAAGGAGCTGAGTGGGATGAAAGAACACCTGATCCCAGTGACTGGTCAGTTCCTCTAAGCCCTGCTGATGAGCCAGGCTGGCTGTGGTGTTATCAGCAGCGCTCTGGAGTACTGCTGATAACAACACAAGAACTGGGATAGCGAGACCGCCAACGGGTTAGCTCAATTCCGACATTCCGTGTCATACACATCACCTTGGAGCCAGTTGAGCTCCAAAATAATGTTGGATAAATAACATCTCATTCCACGCCAGTAACATTAACACATTTCTGAGGAATTCTTAGTTAACTGTATTGTCTTCTAAACAAATTCTTCCATTTTTTGTAAACAAAATAAACCCAGGTAATACACATTGAAAGTTTGTAACACAGATACAAACTGACTTGTAAGAGAATGAAATGGAAGCTGAAGCTGAATTTGCCCCTTTCAAGCAGCTACCGTACGTACAAACATAAAACAATAATGGCACAAAGTCTTAAGCGCTTAAACAGTCATCTCAAGTTCTTTTTGAATCTGGCAAGTTATCTCAACCTATAAAACAGCCTGTCAGATAGATTTATAGATCAAATCTCGACAGATTAGCCAAACCAAAGTATAAATTATGCTTCCTGCTCTTAACAAATATCAGTTTTAAAAATATAAACATTTAATCAGTTGTCAAATGTCAAACAGGACTATTCATTTAGATAACTGCAGCACTGGTCGCTCCAGTAATCACAGAGAGCTGGAGTCCTGTCATTGTGTTAAAACAATGCAATGAATTGGAATGTAAAAAGTGACAGACCTTTAGGAACACAGATGTAATTTCACATGGTTTACTGAAGAATATGTCTAATAAACCACTCCTTAAAAGAAAAGTTAAAATCAATTCGGGTAGCAGTTTAAAAATTGACATTAGCATTTGAGGAGCTAGAAATAGATCTTCCTGTCAAAGGCAGAACTCCTCTCCTCTGTCTAGACTGTAGAGAGAGCAAAATTATCAGATTTTCATTTCCTCAATTTCACTCAACAGTGGTAAAAACGTGTGAGTATTGATTCATCTGCTGAAACAAAAAGCAGAAGGAGCTCTTCACCTCGCCATGGTCAAATGGGTTTGTGGTTGTCTAATTATTACCTATACAAGGAATATAAATCTTCAGTCAGTCATTGCGTAATTATATAAGAGACCAAATACATCATTACAAACCATGAGATTCATGTAACTGTCTTCTTCCCCTACAATGCTATCCTGAGTTCTCCCTAAGGCAGCACTGACCTGTCTCACAGCTTTCACGTTGCACCATTTGCATTCTAAAATGTAATTCGTGCTTAAATTAACTGGCATCTTATTGTCGTTATATACTTATAGATTTCTGCTCAGTCGCATGATTTGCAGACCAAGGTCACATCATGGCTGAGAAGCAAGATAAATAGGTTGGTTTAATAAAGATAGAGAGAAATCATCAAACACAATCTATATTGTAAAATCAGAGAAACCTGTTGTGCTTAACCTAGATTTTGTCGTGTATGAAGGAAGAAAAAATCATTCACAACGTGCCGATGGATTGAGATTGGTGTGCAGGCTCTGTACAGCTTTGCACATTTAATTTTAAAAATATTTTCCCCCACCAAAAATAACGGAGTTCAATAGAATTGTGTTTTGTTGCAACTTGTGCAATGACTGAGTCTGAGACAGGCAGGATGGAAAAGATATCGGTAGTAGCATCTGTTTCCATTTTAAAACTGCTTCGTAGAAAACAGAAAATAAGTGAGCAAACCCAAGAATGGGAAAAAAGTAACACACGTACGCACAATAAAAAGAAACACGATTTTGTGAGAGGTCCTTTTTCCATGGCAAAACGTGTAGCTTTTTGCAGAAAATGGATTGTGTGTTTTTCTCTCAGAAGAAGAATATCATCTGTGGGCGAGCACTGCTATAAGGAGCAGAGGAAATGCTAAGAATGACAAGCGTAGAATTAGAGCTGACAAAAGGGCCACAAGTTGCCTGTTCTTTCTCCCTCTCTTTGAAGGTACTTCATCATTGATCCATAGCTATTATGCTGCGAAAAGATTGCCTTTTCTTCCTTACTGATAGCTAATAGTAGACTTTAACGCAATTTGCTATTGGAACTAAACAAGATACCTCATTCAAGTAAAACCTTACACCGTTAATGATAATGATGGCATGTATTACAGTGCTGAGGCTAGATTTAATTAATTGCAAATTCACCAAAATCTGTAATGTAATCCAACAAATTGACCACTAAAATGCTGGTAGATTACAGTACAGGAAATGCTTTAGATTCAGTCATTGAAGCAGTAGCCTATTAAATTCTGAATGTATTGTATTATCACTCTATGCGACATGTGTGGTCTCCTGAGGTGGGGGTGGAGGGCAGGAGAGATTGTCAGATTGTCAGTTAGATACTCAAATAATGACTCTGTGCATTGTACTGATGACATTACGTGACCTTTTCATTTTATTAATACAACAACAAATTTTAAATAATAATAATTCTTGCATTTGATATGTGGAGCCCTGTAATGTATTGTTTAGGGTATTCACCTCACAAGTGAGAGGACTGGAGTTCGATTCCTGGGCAGGGCGAAACATTAGACAAGTTTTATTACTCCACACACCTCAGTTTACCTACCAGTCAGTAGGAACCTGGTTGTTAGTTGATTGGTGGATTGCTTTTCCGGGGATAATAATCCCTTCAAACAAATAAT